ATGGTAAATGTGTAAGTATGTATTCTTTATAGGGTTAATTGCATTTAAAATTCTAACTTTTTGTGTAACTGCAAATAAAACTCAATTTTTTGACAAAAAAATACCAAACATTTAATAAGTATTGCAATTGTGTCTCAAAATCAGTTTTCGGACCTTGAATAAGATGACTGGGAAAGTCGTCGCCGGAAAAAGTCACCGGTTCCGACGAAGGTGGACGTCACTAGATGCGGCTTTGCGAGAGGAGTTCAACGGTACCTTCGAATTCACATGGGTCAAAGCGAGTCACCAGGAATTTGTGAAAGAACGCAGGAGAAAATTCGAAGATCTACGATTATGATCGGAAAATTGAAAGCCTTATCGTCGAAATTTTTTCGTCAAACTCGAATATGTTGTCGGCACGGAGGAGAGCTACAAGATCATGTAAAATTTTTCAATATCCGGCGAAGTTGGTCGGCTGCGGGTGGCGGTTGGCGGCGGCGGTTGGCGACGGTCCGACGGGTGAGACACAATTGCAATACTTATTAAAGGTTTAATATTTTTTTGCCAAATTGAAGAAGTTAAATTTTATTTGCAATTACATAAAAGATTAAGATTTTAATTAATGCAATTAATCTTCTTTATATTAGAATATAATACCACTTGCGGGTCCTTAATACGTCATCGCACGGTCCCACGTAAAAATGACTCTGATATCATGTAAGAAAAAAGGGTGACGGGTGCAGTCTCACGCACGTGAAGCGCACCATAACAGGGTGACCCTTGGTGAGTCATAATGAGGTTCCATCCTAAAACCAATTGGTAGTAGGATGAGGGGTCCACTACGCTTATAAGTTAAGTCTATTATCTCTGTATAAACAATGTGGAACAATTCACAAGTGGTATTGTATTCTAATACGCCCTCTCACTTTTGAGTTCTTTATACGAAGCCCAAGCCCAATTAAGCCTGGTAAAGGGTTTGTCATCTGTTTAGTAGAGATTTGGTGGGCAAGGGATAACCGAGCTACCCGACTCGGGTCGATCTCGAAGGAAGGCTATTTGGAGCTTTGTCTACTAGATGATCGTCCAAATCACAAAAATCAAAAATAAAATCCTAAACATTCTAAGCAATTTGGGTTGAGGTTGATTAACACTAAA